ACAATTGCTAACGGTGTTCAGTTGCTGCACTGTTGATATTTAGGTTGAAATGATTTTTAACAGACGTGTTAAATAATATAAAAAATGTGAAGGGTTTGACATTTTTTAACAGTGTTCAGTTGCTGCACTATTGATATTTAGGTTAAAACACTGAGTAGTTTTTATTGGAGTCCTAACTTAATTTTCTGTTCAACCGCCGACTTTCTTCACCAAATCCTAAATGCTGTCTCAGCTCTTCATGACTTTTTTACAAGGGTGCAAGGAGTTTTATGCGGCAAACTTAAAGTCGTCAGTTGAAAAATCATTAAATATAAAGAGTACCACTGTAGAGATTATGACGCCACCATTCGCATGTTTTGGCAGCTGTACGCGTACAGTCACTGCCAGAATGTTTATGTAGCCTTACTCTGGAATTTTGAGATAACTTGCAACTCTTTTTTTATTTAATATGTCATAAAGCCACCAACTTTCGCAATGTTTTGGGAAGTTAGGCTTAAGTGTAGTGCAAATGGTGCAATTGTATCATTTTCCGTGTCGAATGCATTTTCTCCCCCCCCCCCACCCCCCACACAGTAGTACTTGGTTGATGTGAAACAGATTAAATTACGTGACAGAAATTCACATGGTTACAAGTAACGCATAGTGTGACGTAACACCTGAATTACAGGTGTTGGAAGGAAGCTAGCTATACATCATTGTCCTAACGTAAGATGAATGTTGAGATTTCACTTTACAAAGATGGAGGTCTAAATTTCCGGCGTGACATCTGTACGTCCGGTTGAATTTTGTCTCTTGATTCAGCAACGTTTTTCTAATTTTCAGAATTTCAGAAAAAAAACAAAAAACGCCTTTATTCCAGTATTTTCAAATAGCATCTGCTAAAAGGATTTAAACCGCTGCTTTGTGTGTAAAATCACGTAGAAAGATGGAGGAAGGTTCTGTGTATTCGTGTTAAGTGGAAATAACGTTTTGTGAGCTGCAGTGTATTTATTGTGCGAAAATTCAAGTTTGCAGAGTATATAAGAAAGGGTCACTAGCCATTGTAAAGAAACTTCGAACGTCGTCTCACGTACATATACAGAGTGACCCCGAAAGAAGATAATGGCTGGTAACCTGTCTAATGACCAACGGAAGTGGGTACTGAAACGTTATTGGAAAACGCCTAGACGGGCTTCAATTTGAACACTTGCGGGATTAACTTTCCCATAATTCCATGTCATGTGTAAAGTGCCGTTAAAAAAATTATCAATTATCAACTGTATACTTTAATTTTGATTTAATTACTTTAAATACATTATCAGTCATCAACTGTATATCTATTTTTGGGCCACCCCATATATTGGATTGCAGCGTGTTTTGTGTGTGTGTGTGTGTTTTCTAAACAAAAATGCTTTTTAATTCAAACTACACACCGTGCCAGACGTGTTTACTACAAAATACTAAATTAAATTATATAAACGAAAATAGTCGTTCTCCGTGCTCTGATTTTAAGTTTGCATAGGTACTTAGGCTTGGAACGATGTTATTAAAACATTCTAAGACAGGTTAGGATCGGGTTTGTTGTTTTATGTATTGCTTCCCAACGCATTTTTTATCATAAATCTTCACAATTTTCTCTTTAGTCAAAACTTATTTTTCAATGCTTTTTTTCTAGAAAAAAAAAAGAGCGTGAGATGCATTGGCCTTACGTTTGACGTACAGCACTAACTTTGTTGGTAGCGTGTCGAATTCATAACATAAACATAAAAGTATCTTATGTTCTGATGTTTTAGATAATTGACACGTTTATAGTGTTTAGAATATTTAATGCCAACTCGAAGCAAGAATATCAAAACATGATTTTACTTCTTGGATCGATGGATTTCCACCAGAAAGCCAAGAGATGCAAAGAGCCGACAACGTCTTGAGAAACTTTGCAAGTACGTTATCAATTAAGGGACATCCCCCCCCCCGTGACTCAACGGTAAGACTTCTGGCTGAGCTTATAATGCTTAAAAATCGGGTTTCGATATCCTCTGCGGGCAAAGCACAGATCGCCCTAAGTTTAGCTCTACGCTTAACAACAAACAAACATGGGACATTTAGTTTGTATCCTCAGTAAGTTTGCATCTTTTCCATCATTGTTTCGGAATTCATGTGTAATTTTATCTTGTTTTTCAGAAGCCGTTTTACTGATAACATCTTATGATGTACACGTTATTTCTGATGAATAACGTAAACATTAACTTGCAACAAACGTTATACATCAGCTATATTTTTTTTTTGCACCTTGCAACAAACGTTATACACCAGCTATATTTTTTTAGTCTACCTTGCAACAAATGTATAACGTTTGTTGCAAGGTGCAAAAAAAATAATATAGCTGATGTATAACGCCAGCTATATTTTTTTGCACCTTGCAACAAACGTTATACATCAGCTATATTATTTTTTTTGCACCTTGCAACAAACGTTATACATCAGCTATATTTTTTTTTGCACCTTGCAACAAACGTTATACATCAGCTATATTTTTTTTTTGCACTTTGAATCGTATCGTTCCAGAAAACTAATATACCAAAATTGTTTATTATACACTCCTCACATAATTTCACAAAATTTTTAAAGGGGAAAAAAGGAGCTAATTAGCCCCTCAAGGATATCCCTTCCAGTTCCCAACTATAACCACACCTTACTACTCGTGTATTCATCCAATCCTTTCTTGAACTCAGTTAAATTTTCTGCCTCCACCACCCTTTAAGGCGGCTCATTCCAAAAGTCAACCACACTGTTTAAAAAGTAATACTATCCAAACTGCAGAAGACTCCTACGCTGCCAAAATTTGAATTTGACCCATTGTGGTATTGTCTTCAATGCTAAACACAAAAACAGTTATTCGGCCTCTGTCATCCCTAGTTGTAGTATATCCATATACACATCTATATAATTAGTTTGTGTCCATATGTCTGTTTGTTTAATTTACTAAGCGAAGCGCCATTTTCATAGGTGTGTAGGTTAGTGAGTACATTTTGTGGTATTATGTATTTTGTTATATGTTGTAATAATGTTTTGGGTAAATTTTTGGTAATCATCTCCAGTTCCTCCTGAGACAAAAAAAAAAAACACACTAGCTTGTAACGTTGCTGTTTTCCTCTTCTAAAGATTGCTCGTTAAGGACAAAGCCAATGAATGAAAATTAAAACTTGGTGTTGAGTTGTCAGAAAAGACATTCTACATCTAATATTTAATAATTCATTACTAAACTCGTGCACAAGAATGAATTATACATTAAAAATCTATAATATGCATTACGTAATGAGCGTAATTTTTATAAGCTATTAGGAATAACCGAAGTGTATTATAAAAAGTTGAAATCGTTTGATATTTATTTTCAGCCAGAACGCCACCTTGTGCAAAACAAGGAGTAAATGAATTATTCGTCGTAAATCTCTAATATGCATTACATAATGAGCTTAGTTTTAATAAGTTATTGTGAATATCCGAAGTATATTATAAAAAGTTGAAATCCTTTGATATTTGTTATTTTTAACCAGAACGCCACCTTGTGCAACAAAGCGAATCAATAGGCTCAGGCTTAGCCGTTCGTTATTTAGAACTGCTGTCCAGAGGGAAGGCAGCCAGCTACTCGACAACATCCCGTCACCTCCGCGGTAATCGTAAACAAACAACAGAATTGATTGGCAATGTTATATATAAAAAAAAACAAAAAACCTATAGTTGAAAATATGAAATTATTCATTACCTTGTCGCGGCTCGTACTTCGCATCTTCGAAACTGTAATGTGGTACGGCTAATTACGTTCTATAGTGTGTTTCAAAGACAAGAAATGTTTCTAGCTTTATTGTTACTACGTGTTTCTGAAATAATATTTAAACAAATTGTCAGTTGCTCGTTTCTTTGGGATTTGACTAGTTGTTAATTTATAAGTAAACATGAAATATACGACTAGACGTTTAAATAAATGTTATTGATTGGAAGAAACTTGAAAATAATGCTACAGCATATAAAATATGGTTCAATAGTGTAGTAAATCCTTGAGAATGGTTATTATTCGTAATAAATTTTGATCAAAGTTAAACGTTTTGGTTTAAAAATTTTCTTCACATTAACTCAACAAACTTATAAATATTACGAGTTTCTTACATAAAGTTACGGATTATGTGTAGCACTTAATTTTATTAATTAATTAAGAACACGAGTGTAATGATATTTCTAGTGATTTTAAGTTTGTTAGTAGTGTTGTAGAAAAGGCTATGTTTCCTGATATCTCATTGTTAATAACTTATCTAAAGTAAGCTAATTATGTAGATAACGACTGAAAAAAAGTAACTTGTGATTTAATTATCATAAATTTGTACAAGAAATACACAATACATACATTTCATAAATCAATACACATTTTAGAGTAAAACTTATAATGATTGGAATACACTAAGTCATCAAGGGACTTTATAATCTTGTAAAGAGGCAGCGCTGTAAGCTTTATTTTTAATATTTTTGTTTAGATGTTTTTATTGTTTGCTAGAGGGAGCTTTTGGCAAGATGTTGTGATGCCGTGCGACTCGTAGAAGCTTCTTGAATTTCTAGATTTGACGTTAATTTTGTTCTATATTGGAATATTTCCAGGAGAAGAAAGCTGAAGCATTGCCGATTATGTGAATTTATTTATGAGCTGTTTATCTGTTAGTGCTAGAAGCTGCCATTGTAAGCCATGTTAGCGATTTCTCCTATTTTATCCAAACGACTGATGAACTTTACAAAAAAAGTGTTTCACAAATTCAAGTTCGCCCATCTTCAATATTCAACTCGTAACTATCATATATGTATTTGGAAAATAAAACATTTTCATAAGTGGTTGTTCGCTTTCCACCATCTTTGTGTTACGTGAACCTACATACGCAAATAAAGGTCAGTGTGGGGTTCCAAAGCATGACGTAATGTAAGTTTTTAATTTGCTTCTTTTGTAATAAGTTTTTTTTTATATTTATTTTATCCAACAGAAAAGAACCTGAAACGCCTCCAAGATATACAAGAGGAAATTCAACGATTGAGAGAAATGAATAACAAACAGTTGGAGCTAAGGGTAAGCATAAATGTACTTAATTAACTCTGTGGCACTTTATTTTCACTTTTAAAACTATATATTGCATGATCTATATAATAAAATTCAATAAATGATTTTCGACTATCACTCTTCTGGGAAATACGTTTAAGAAAACAATTCTTATTATATATACACACGCGCGGTAAGGACTGACACGGTCAAGTAATTAGGACGCACGGCTCGCAATCTGTGGGTCGCGTTTTCGAATCCTGTTCCTGTACGTGCTCGCCACTTCAGCCGTGTGGAGGCATTATAATGTGACGGTTAATCCCACTGTTCGTTTGTAAAGAATAGTACAATAATTGGCTGTGTGTGGGGGTTGGCTAGCTAGCTTCCTGTCACTTTTAAATTATGGATGGCTAGCTCAGATAGCCCTGAGTAGCTTTGCGCAAAATTCCCCAAAACATAAACAATTAATTTTGGTAAGTTTTGCTTGTCATGAACACAGCTAAAAAGAAAATTGCTACTGCCCACTATTTTTACTGTAAGCAGTGTTGTTAAATATATATGAAAGTAAATAATTAAAAATCACAAATTACGTCATCAACGACCAAAGATAGCCAAACACGTGATTTATAACTGTCTGTAGAATAGTTGTGTAATTCACTGTATCTTATTTCTTTTAAATTGAGCCACTGGTTTATAGTTCATCTTAATGTAGATGGGATAATTTGGGTTTATATGAACTTGGGTAAGCTGTTAAGAATTTAAAACTTTCATCTTATATTGATTAGACTGACAACAAAATAGCCACTGTGTACAATGCAGTGCTATAAACATTATCCCAGCATTTTTCTTTTTTTTTTTTCTTTTAAGTAGATTTTGTGTCCACTGTAGTACATTATTCTTCAGGCTTCATTTCAAGTACACCATTGAAATGAATAATGGTTAGCCCTCTCTCGGGAAAAAAATAAAGTAATAAATCATTAAATTATATTTAGGCATAGTTTTTCGTGAGAAAAATGTTTTATATAAAACAGATCAAATTATACTTACATTATTATAATGTAATATTTAGGTTATTTAATTGTTTATGTATTAGGTGAATATCTAACGTTTTCAATTCAAATACCAGTATTGAGTATAAATCGTGTATTGCTGCTTAATCGGATTGTTTTAGGGCCATCTCTAATATTATCTGGACAGATCTTATCCGAAATTCCATCAACTATAATGGACTCGGCAGTAATGGAATAGATTTTAGTCCCACTCCACTTCGTTTTCATTAAAAACTGATCGGCGTACAGTCAATGTAATTATCTCGCCAAACACAATTACAGGTAGAACTGAACACAAAATAGAAAGTGAAGACAACGCCACCTGTTGAAGATGCTTAAAATAGAATTTTCTCCTCCCTCTGTGCTGTAATAGATTGGCCAGGTAAACGTAAAGTCCTCTTGTGCGTTCGCTGGAGTTTAGATACACGCTTTGTATTTTTAGTTTATTTCGGGTGTATGGGTAGGGGCACATAAACAGAACAACAGAGTTTTCAGAAATCTTAAGAGTACTGTCACCCGAATCAAATCTTCTCTCTCTGTTTCGATGTTATGTTTTACAGAATTCTTTATGACGTATGTTTCCAATATTATTGTCGGCATTCATAAAATATTTTTACTTTAAAATTCAGTTTGAATTTTTTTTTCGTTCTTGACGTCTGAAAGCAAATGCATTATTTCTTTCAATAAAATCTCAGTTGATAAGCACGTAGGTTTGTTTCGCCTCATTTGCTAAAATACGGGGCAAGTTTTAACGAAGGTTGTTACTTCTTGCCACACGCAGGCTTTCAATCGATATTCGCGATGGTAAATACCACTAATTGCATGGCCTCAACAACCGGAAAAAGGGGGTGGGGGGTAGATACAGCTTTCGAGACTTAACAATTAACCCTGTTACGTACTCTAATAATAAAAATAAAAGTTACGATTTATAGACGTGGCCATTAATTGGAAACGCCATTAAAAGCAGTTAAAACAGCATTGTTTTTAAGTTACGTGTATGCAGCTCGTTCCTTGCACGTATTGTCAGTAATTTACGTTATTAATATCTATTGTAAAAACCACTACGTGACATTTTTACTAGTTTCAACAACAAAGACATTTAGTATGTGGCCAAACTATTTTACAATATATTGGCGAAGGTGTACACGCCAGGCGCGTCATTTATTTCTTTGGCTTCTCGTGGACAGCTGAATGGCGTGCGTGAGAGGTATTCGCTTGGCACTGAGGGCGAGGGGTAGGGTGAGGATGGAATGGCTAAGGAATTGAATATAATAGTTGAAAGTTTCGTTGTGATCAGCGTCTCAGAAGCTCAAATTTTGTTCACAGACAAACAAACAAACAAATAGTATAGATTATAAAACACGTTAGTTTATCCATACAGTGTTGTCAGTTCTTCATACTGAATTGTATAACATTCCAAACCATAATTATACAGTTGATGCAATATGTATATCCAACCGTATGTATAGTGATCAGTACGAAAATAAGCCACTTAATTTGAGGGATAAACGACTTCCATATTTTTTAACTTGGAAAGAGAAATCATTATTTTATCAAAGCTAGCCAAATTGTTCGGTTTGTATATAAATGATATTCATTGTTCATCACAGTTATGTTTTGTAGGAATTCTAAAGATACAACATTATTCAATATATATTATTGTACTTAATTTTTTGTTTAATTTATTTCCATGTATTCTCCCACCAAACATGCTCGCCCTTTCAGTCGTGGGGGTGTTATAATGTTACGGTCAATCCCACTATTCGTTGGTAAAAGAGTATCCCAAAAGTTGGCGGTAGGTGTTGATGAATAGCTGCCTTCCCTCTAGTCTTTCACTGCTAAAACATACAAAACAATCATCTGTTCTTTCTTATCAACTAGTAAAAGGTGTTTTTATTTTAGTTTAATTCAAATGTAGCACCAAAACATTGAGCTCCTAATTTTTTTTTTTTTTTTGTAATTTGTCGCTCACTTGGAATGTTGCCTTGTGCTTTGTTATCCTTAAACTGCCTGAAGAATTTCACCCTCAATCTCCGCACTTCAAAAACAAAATAACAATGTAACACAAGTTTCACGTGCACTCCATGGACAAGCATGCATATTTCATCATTCGCGACGAACACCAGACTGCACTTCGGAAAGCGCAACAATCAATACATCCTGTTTTATGGAAAATATTTAAGTTTGCGTTAATAGCTTCTGAAACCTCGTAAGATGGTTTAACTTCAAACTTGATTTTATGTACACATCATTACTGTGACCTCAGTCGTTACTCTGTACCTGTAAATAATCAAGTCTTTGGAGGTTTTATTTAGTAGAAGGCTTCCAGGTCGATCATTTTTCTTGGTTTTTATTTTATTCTTCTAAACTAATTTTTCGTTTTCTGTTTTTTTGTGGCCAATGCGTATATGAAATTTTCGTAATAGTTGGGGCGTTACTGTTTTATATTTATTTCAAATTAATTTGAATAAAAACAACGGACTTACAACGCTAGAAACCGAGTTTATATACCCGTGGTGGGCAGAGCACAGATAGCCCATTGTGTAACTTTGTGCTTAACTTCAAATAAAAACAAGAACTTAGCAAACGGAATAGGCGGGACGGTTTATTTGTAACTTTTCGAACGGTTCTGTTCTATTAATATTCAGAAAACAAAGTACAAATACAGAAGCGAACAGTTATACATCGTAAATTTATTTTTAATAAAAATAATAACTGTTGTAATTCCGAGTATTTACTATAAACGAGTATTTTAAATAGTAGATGGGAAATAGTTTTATTGTTTTTTATTGAAACGTTTAGGCCAATCTGCGCGTGTGGTAAGAGAAATGCCGTTTTACAGAAACACAAATAACATATTTGACGTTTAAACCGTTTATTTTTCATTACTTCAGTCCCCCAGGAGTAATTGAACGACATAGAAACGACTATTGTGAATAGTAGATGGGAAATAGTTTTGTTTTTTATTGAAACGTTTAGGCCAATCTGCGCGTGTGGTAAGAGAAATGCCGTTTTACAGAAACACAAATAACATATTTGACGTTTAAACCGTTTATTTTTCATTACTTCAGCCCCCTAGGAGTAATTGAACGACATAGAAACGACTATTGTGAATAGTAGATGGGAAACAGTTTTAATGTTTTTTATTAAACATTTTAGGTACCACGTGCCCATGTGATAAGAAATTCATTTTCAAGAAAAACTGCCCTTCAACTGTTGAATTCTCATTATTTTAGCTGTATACGTATCATATAGGTAGTGTTATTTTGTAAAAGGGTCATATTTTCGGTTTTACTTTAAAATATCTCGTAACTATTAAGACATTTTTGTTATTTGTTTGTTTGTTTGTTATTGTGGCGCATCTTACGACGTTTTCCAGTAAGATCCGACTGTTAATGTTGACTGTTTCCATGTTGACTGTTGGCATGACAATGCATTGTTAATATTTCCAACCGTTCAACCCTAATTTCTCCATATAATACCATAAAAATATTTTCATTATTAATTTCTTATATCGTCTCCTGTTATTCGATATTTACTTGTATATTAAAGTTTTGCACGTGACCTGAAGTGTTTGTTATATTTATCGATATGTATGACATTTCGCCATTCGAACTGTGACCTTCTGCGAGTTCCGTGAAACGATGCCAGCCAGGCTCGTGGTTATGTTTGTACCGTGCATAAGCCAACGCACTCTACCGAGGTATAGCTCATCCTCGGGTAGGTTCCAACCAGCACTTATCATCGCCCAAATTGAGTCCTTGGTAGAGGTGAAAATAGTGTCCCTCATTCTTGTGTGCGGGTCAAGGTTCCGTGATCATTTAGTTTTGCTGCGGAAAAGTTGTAATATACTTTTCTATCAAAATAACAATGATAAAACAATATACTGTAACATAAGCCACGGTACACTGGTATCGGGACCGTGATCACAAAATACTATTATAATAAACCGCAAACTGAAAAAAATGGATTCTCTATCGA